AGAAAATTTAATCATCGAGACTTTGGATGCTGATTACGAAGATATTGAATCTTTAAATAATCTAGATGTTACTAATACTATACGATGCGGAAAACATGTTAAGAATTGCGCATTACAGAATGTATTAAAAATATTTAACTGGTGGTCGCAACGCCAAAAAGAATCGCGATATTTTAAAAATAAAATGTTTAAACGTAATTAATGTTTTTTTATTTCTCATTTTCCCCCACTCCTTTCCTCGCGAGTCGTTTCTAAGAATTCTTTTTAACGTTGGTCGTTTCCTCTTCTCTTAAATTTTCAGAGCATTAATCTCCTACCACATCATACGTTTCCCCTTCTCCTAAATTTTCAGAGCATTAATCTCCCACCACATCATACGTTGGTCGTTTCCCCTTCTCCTAAATTTTCAGAGCATTAATCTCCCACCACATCATACGTTGGTCGTTTCCCCTTCTCCTAAATTTTCAGAGCATTAATCTCCCACCACATCATACGTTGGTCGTTTCCCCTTCTCCTAAATTTTCAGAGCATTAATCTCCCACCACATCATACGTTGGTCGTTTCCCCTTCTCCTAAATTTTCAGAGCATTAATCTCCCACCACATCATACGTTGGTCGTTTCCCCTTCTCCTAAATTTTCAGAGCATTAATCTCCCACCACATCATACGTTGGTCGTTTCCCCTTCTCCTAAATTTTCAGAGCATTAATCTCCCACCACATCATACGTTGGTCGTTTCCCCTTCTCCTAAATTTTCAGAGCATTAATCTCCCACCACATCATACGTTGGTCGTTTCCCCTTCTCCTAAATTTTCAGAGCATTAATCTCCCACCACATCATACGTTGGTCGTTTCCCCTTCTCCTAAATTTTCAGAGCATTAATCTCCCACCACATCATACGTTGGTCGTTTCCCCTTCTCCTAAATTTTCAGAGCATTAATCTCCAACCACATCATATTTTTGAAAAATAAGCGTCACGTATACTCGGTTAATTTTTATACGATCAGTGTCGCGTCAACTGCTAGTACCAACGGTCCACTTCTCATAACCGAGAGACAAAATGTACTCTGCTGAAGGAAGCAGCAACGGTGGCAGACGCATGAATTACGTTCCTCGAGATGAAATTAAGCCATACAAGAAACCGCTTGATTTGTATCAGAAATGTTTCATATATATATTTTTTCATATATATATTTCTTCATAAATTTTTTTTTCATGTATGTTTTTTCTATGCTTTTTCATATTTAATTGTATTTTTTCAGATACAATAAACTTTGTTGTATTGTAACCACGTATTTTGGTACGCAGATTTGCATTGACGCGCACTGCGTATAAATACTTGGATATTGGAATCAGCGTTGGAATCACATCTTACGTGGAATTACATCTCGGCAATAACCTAGGCAATCAAATCGTATTACTTATTGAAACATGGGAATCGCTAATGCTGAAACGAGCGAACGTTGAACGACTTGTACAAACGCCTAATCATACACCAATATGGATTAACGATTTAACAATTGAGATTGTTAAAGTACACGATGCGAGTGTTGTAAAACTTACATTACGCGATTCTTGCTTGTACATGAAACCGTCAACTATATTTTTTTTATTCGAATTCGAACATTACGTTAATCACGAATATTTGAAGCTGTGCCAGAATATAGAAACCGTAAATGAGAGTTTCGATCGACTTGTCGTTAATTTGCAAGGTAATATGTTTGGTGCCGAGACAGATTCTGCGGTCAACATCTTGCCCGACATTTATAATAAAACATCTGTCATAGATTGCGAACTATTAGCTTATGCTGTGGATGAACTTTTGTATGAAACCTTGAGACGAGATGATGTATTTTAATATAAATAAATGTGTTAAAAATGAAAAAAAATGATTATCTATTTCTTTCGCTTTCCTTTCTTGCATATAAGATAGATACGTAAGCGCTTGACTTTTCTTTGCGCGATCAAAATTTTCCGTTATGCACGCCACATGCCGCGAAACGTGTCTCGACACGCAACTCCTGATAAACGGCTCTTCCTAGAAAAAATGAAAAGGACACCGCCTTATCATCTATTTGTTTATATTATTTATAAATTCGAGCAGCCGGACATCGCCTTTGTAATGTGAGACGTTCTTCGTATCTCTTAGATCTTGAGTCGCGTTGCCGCGAAAATTCTAGCAGCCGGACATCAACGCTCGCCTTATCATCTAATGTTACGCGCAATAGTGCGAGCGGCTATTCCTGGAAAAAATGAAGAGGACACCGCGATAGTTCTATTTTGTCTTTAGAAAGGTTACTTTTATAAAGATTATATAGATTCTAGGAATATAGGAAATAATATTTTATTCATTGTAATATTAAAGAGTCTTATGACTGTGCAAGACAATGAAAGAACTTCGCTCGATCGATAGTCTTATCTGCCCGCGCGATAAGATAGTCTTGGTATGCGGCCGACCGTTGAAAACCGTTGCAGCGTTGAGCCAGGGAGGCTGATGCAAACCTTTCCCTAATATATTCCATCTATCACCGCTTATAATGCCGCGAAAACGTGTCTCGACACGCAACTCCCGATAAACGACACCGCCTTATCATCCATTTGTTTATAATGTTTATAAATTACAGCAGCCGGACATCGGCGCTCGCTTCTGTAATACACCGAGAAACATGTCTCGACAAACGACCCCGATAAACGGCTCTTTCAGGAAAAAAAAATGAAGAGGACACCGCCTTATCATTCATTTGTTTATAATGTTTATAAATTCGAACATCGGCATCCACCTTTGTAATACACCGCGCCGATTATAAACATGACCCGCTCCCGCGATAAGCTCCCCCGCCCGCGTGACGTCATTCCCCCTCGCCAGCGCGAGAC